GCAGCTGTGGCCACTGGAGGATGGAGCAGCTTGCTGAGGTGTTGCAGGCTGGAGCTGGCAAGCTGGAAGCCACTCAGATTCACCAGGAATCCACCTGCAGGGGTGCCATTAAACCTGCTGGGACTCCAGCTGGAACACCAGCAAAACTCACCTGGAAACCACACACAGGAGTGTTGTTGAATTGTCTGTGGGGCCAGCAGGGAGGCCCACTCAAAAGGAAGCTGCACGAGGCAGTGCTTGCTGAGGGTGAAAGCCACTGAATATCCCACACTGGGACCAAGCACTGCAGCAGCCAGACCCGGGATGCACCCTGAACCTGGAAGAAAAGGGCCCTTCTGCAGTGTCCCACCAATGACAAAGCTTAACATCATGCCAGCTGGTGAGAGAGAAGTGTTTACAGGGTCCAGCTCTAGTATCACAAGGAGCACAATAAAAAGTGGATTTGGAAGCAAGAGGCAATGAATTGATAACCAACATATCCTTAGTAAGCTCTATAAGAATATTTGACCAGGCCAGGTGCAGTGGCTCATGTCTGTAATCCCAGCACTTTGGGAGGATGAGGCAGGTGGATCACCTGAGGTCAGGAGTTCAAGATCAGCCTGGCCAGCATGGCAAAACCCCATCTCTACTAAAACTACAAAAATTAGCTGGGCTCGGTGGTGGGCCCCAGTAATCCCAGCTACGTGGGAGGCTGAGGTAGGAGAATCACTTGAATCCAGGAGGTGGAGGTTTCAGTGAGCCAAGATTGCGCCACTGCACTCCAGCCTGGGCAACAGAGTGAGACTGTCTCAAAAAAAAAAAAAAGTGTTTGATCAATAGAATAAATAGCTATGCAGCATACAGAAGACTTGAGTCCTATCTAGTTCATCTCTGGGAATAGGAGTAGCAAGCTCCTATAAGAGCAGACCTAGCGTTGTGCTTAGGGGCCTGGATCTGGAGTAAGATGACATGGATGTGAATCCTAGCTTTGCCTTCTGCTAGCAGCTGGACAGCTCACTTAACCCCTCTGTGCTTCCGTTTCTCCATCTGTAAGATGGGGATGATAATAATGCGCACCTGCATCATAGGGTTAGCATATTAAATAAGTTTATAAAGAATTAAAAGAGTACATCTTACCTTTTATTAGGTAGTTGCTTGGTCAGAACAGCAAGTGAAAATGTTCCAAATTTTATGCCAAAACCAGAAATGTAATTGGGAGCTTCAAGGATGGAGTTTTTAAAAATGAGACATCCTTTCTTCTGTATCATCCTCCCCGTCAATTCCCATGGCTCTACTCATGCCTATGATTGACAGCTCCGATGTTTTCTTGCTGATCCACAGCCCCTAATTAGGAGAGGCAGTTAATCTGCTCAAGTTAGGTCACCCAGTTAGAGCAATGGTTCTCAACTGGGGATAACATATGCACCCCCCGACCCCAGGAGACATTTGGAAAAGTCTGGAGATATTTTTTATTGTCACGACTGGGGCAGGAGTGCTAGCCAGGGATGCTGCTAAACATCCTATAATGCACAGTATAATCCTAACAATAAAGAATTATTTGGTCTAAAATGTCAATCAAGCCACTGTTGAGAAACCCTGATCTAGAGGGTACAGGGGTTTGGAGAAAGGAGACAGAAGTTGAGTAGATGAGCCAGGACATGTTTCCTTGATTCCTCCAGCTATGCTGGGTTCTTGGCTCGTTCAGCCTCGGTGACCAGCTCCAGACTGTCTGACCTATAGCTGGATCTAAATGTACAATTTCTGATGTCCCTGGACTACTAGTGTCATCTACATAGAAACCGAATGCCCAGGTCTTCCACACCAGGAAATGAGGGAATAGATTCTTGAAAGAGCTGCAATTGAAACAAAACTATTCAAACCCTTAAGAAATCTTGGCAGAAGGCAGTTTGCCTTTTCTCATCATTAGCAAATATTCTACCTTTTTCTTTCCATGACAGGCTCTCTGTTTGAAACAAGTCTCTCTTCTAAGCCCCAGGCCCCCCAGTTCATACCTGGAGCTCAGCAGAATTTTACTAAGGCAATGAGGGTTTTAGGGTGGAAGAGGCAAATGAAAAGCATGAGAAACAACGTTATAAAATGAAAAGCTGTTAAATAAACAAGCAGGACAGAATATTGACTGACAGTTACTATAAAATTCTATTTGTCTTAGCCACAGCCTACATCAGAAGCCATTTAGCTAGCAAATATAAAACATGTATGGGCTGTCTGAGGCAACACATGTGAACAAAGAAAAATTAGCTTTTCTCTAACAATGTAAACCATATGTCTCTTATGAGGCTGAGAAGAATATAAGTGAAAATGGCTGCTTTGAGACTGCACCACCAACCAAACTGAAATATGAAATTCTGGAAACAGCTGGAAAGCAATTTTTTTTTCCTGTTAGCTATTTATGATGTTTCTGTTTTTGGCCGTCCTACACGTTTGAAACCCTGCATACTAACTGCGGCCCTCAACAAAGAACCACTCATCTACTCACTGTCTCCTGACTGGGGAATCAGTAACTTGTTGATAGTTTTCAAGAGAGAGTTTCAACATATGGAAAAGACAGAATTTTTCATAATTAAAAAGTTCCTGGTTAACTTTCAAAAACACACATGTAAGTCATTTGAAAATACTTTTCATTTGCTATAATAGAAGCTGTTTCCCTATGTTTTACCAAGTTCATACTTTCTATTTAGTCTCCAACCAACATCCTACCAAATACAGATCAAAGCTATTGAAAGGGCCTGCAGATGTAACATAATCCTATCTAAGGTGATCTCATACTCATATAAATGTCGGCATTCTTCCCTTTACCGAACAACTTGCCACCACAGGCCTTGTGCACATTCAAAATGCGTTTAAATCAAAGGTTTTCTATGAACAATTTCTCAAGTAAAGTCGAACATGCTTGCATGTTAATTCCTGCTGTAAAAGTCAAGGTATAGCTGGTCAGTCATTATACTGTATTTAACCATGGACTGGAAAGTGAATCAACAATTTTTTTTTAATGTTAGCACTTGCTAAGGAAGCAATGGGATTCAGTCTGTGAATGAAAAAGAACTTACGTCAGCACGGGAGATGCACTGAATTAGGAGCAGGGAGGCCAGACCTCTGCTTTCCTCTCTGGAAAGTCAGGAAGCATCAGCCACGGATCTGATGATGCATGTCTCTAAATTACTTCAAACAACGCGAAAAGTTACGTAACTGTTATGGTCATTACCAATAGTAATTGTGGTCATTAGCAATATTCACTGTCTCAAGGAATTTTCAAAAGCACCTCCTTTGTTACCCTGACAGTAAGGGGAACAGAGGGGAACTGCAAGGTCAAAAAGCAGTTTCCACACCCTCTGAAGATTGCTATCAGATACATTTTCTAAAATAATTTGGAGATAGGAGGTGACCCTCAACTGTTCAGAAATGTATTAAAGGCCTACTGTGTACCAGACTCTAGAGGGACAGAAACAACAGTCCCTGTTCTAGAGGGACAGAAACAACAGTCCCTGTTTAGTAGAAGACAGTCACATGATCTAATATTTTCCTGCTCAAAAACTTCAAATATTGAGGAAATTCACACTTTTACTTCCTCCCTCTAGCTTTTCAGTGATGCAGTGTGGTTCTGCAGAAATCAGATAATGGGGCTAAAATGTGTACACTCCCTATTGTGTAGCCTTAACTTTTCTGAAACTCATTTTCTTTGTCTTTAATCTCAACATTTTGGGAGACCAAGGTGGGAGGATGGCTTGAGGCCAGGAGTTTGAGAGTACCGTGGGCAACATAGTGAGACCACATCTTTACAAAAAAAGTGTTTTTAATTGGCCGGGTATGGAGTACATGCCTGTAGTCCCAGCGAGTTACTCCGGAGGTTGAGGCAGGAGGATTGCTTGAGCCCAGGAGTTGAAGGCTGCAGTAATCCAAGATTGTGCCACTGCATTCTAACCTGGGTGACAGAGCAAGACCCTGTCACTATAAAAAAAAAGATTTGAAAAATTTGAAAGAAATGTAAAAAGCAATGAAATCACATATGTGAAAATACTTGCTAAATTCTAACATAAGGCATTATTAACAAAACAAATCCTTCATTAGGTCCCCACTGCCAGCCTTAGGCTATCCATGACACAACTAACCAGTTTTAATCAGGGCAAACCTGTTTGCAACACAGATTATGTGAAAGGGTATAGTCACTAACCTTTTTTTAAATATATGAACAATACTTAAATATCCTACTAATCATTAAGTATTTCTAAGTGCCTCCTGATCCAACTTTATAAACCTACTTCTCAAATCACTATTTATAAAGCTTTCATTTTTTTTTTTTTTAGGAAGAGCAATGGGTTATGATGAATTACCAACGCTTTTAGTGTTTGCACAGTCTGGTATTAAGAAAAATGTTTTTCCATGTAAAGTGAAGCTAGCCACCAGGAAACCACACCCAAGTAATGTTTATGTTACTCGAGCATGCTGAATTTGACTTTGACTCCTGATATCCATAAGGGTGCATCTTCCCCTTCCCTACTGCAGCTGTCCCGGCCTTCAGTAGATATTCAAAGTCACTCCTCTTACAAAGACTAAGTGTGCTGAATGGATTTCCCTTAAACTACTTGATGCAAAGAAATGGAGGATGTCAACAGAATCACCCATGATTAATCATCAACATGTTTCCTGTCTAGCAACTCAAAATGTCCTAAATCAAGCAATACTAATAATGTCCAGATTGGTAGTTCTGAAAATTCACTTGGTCTTTGATTTCCACAATGCCTGGATTCTCTATAATAGCATTTTCAAAAGTGACTGAATATTTTATGTATTCTATAGGACATTCATGGATCTTCAATTAAGTAATCACTTTTTCTAGCAAAGTAAGCAAGCTATCTAGTTATCCAAAATTGATTTAGTTATGTCATGCTTTATCTGCACAAGAAAGCAATTTTGTAAGTGAAAACGGATAACCTAAATAAACTAATAAGTTTTCAAACTACTAAAGGGCTCCACGGCTTTAAAAAGTACAGTCACAGAAAATGCCACTTTTTATGGAAAAGTTTTATTTGATTTTCTAAAAGGTAATGTTTTGAGTATACTTACTTTACTCTTTCAAAGCAATGCAAGTACAATGATAAGCATTTGAATAAAAAGTACCCTGTTTTATGAGCTTATTTTTTAACATAGTGAAGGCATACTCTCACTGAAAGTAGAAATATGTGATCCAATTACAAAACATAACATTTAAGAATAAACACACACAACTGAATAGTTATGAAAAAATAGAGGATTAATCAAAATATTCTGTTTAAAAATATTAAATTCAAGTTATATGGAAATTTTATGCATAAAAATCATATTGTATAATCAGAATGAATCTGCAGTGGTCATTTCTGAAAAACAAATACTAACTTTAGTTAAAAAGTTAAACTTTTACTTCTCTTTTTCAAAGTATTTTCAAAACTTCACTATTCAAATTCAAATAGGATATTTTAGCAATTTACTTCAAAGACGTATTATATAATTCTTGTCCCAAGAAATCTTCTTGCGATGTTTGTAAATAAATCTACTAACAGAAAAGAGTAAGAAAAGCCAATCTAGGAAAGAAAATAGTTCAATTAAGTGAGAGTCAAAGTGCGAATTAAATCTGTGGGTTTTTTTCCTCCCCATCATTTCTTTTCATGTTGTCTTTGGAGACAGAGTAATTTGTAGGCAGCTCACCTTGATCTACATTTTCTCTCTCTAATCTCTCTTGGCTGTGATACAGTACAGGGAACCGCTAATATCACCCCCTCCATTTTGCCAGACAGGAATACCGAAGGCCAAATCTTATGACCACCCTCGGGTTGCAACAAGTAACGTTTACTTCAGCAACAAAGTGGACCTCTCTAGAGATTATTTTGTTGTACTGTCTTGTTGCCTTAATACGAATTAATCATTAAAAAAATAAACTGAAAACCAGAAATTCAAACTGTCCATAGACAAATAATCATTTAAAAGTTGGGAAAATGAGAAATGGAGCCTTAACCACTGAAAGTCTCCCCTTCTCCATTCCTGGCTCACACAATTCCAGGAATAGAATCCTAAACATAAACCTAAGCTTCCCCTTTACTGCATTAAGAAAGTGTCACTTCTTTGCATCAAATGGGTTGAAAGCTTTGGGAGATGAACGGGAAATTTCAAGTCCACCACTTTCATCAATTTCCCTTGTCCTTCCCGTTCTCAGTCTGCACTCCCAAGGCCCGGGCAGCATCGCCGGGAAGCGGCTTGAGGGAGTTGGCCTGCCTCGCGGCCGTGGGGGTGGCCAGGGAAGGCGCGGTGGCGCACAGCGGTGTCCTCTTCAGCTTTATCACCCGCTGGGGTGTAGGCTTCTTGTCGGAAAGTAGCACCTTAGCTGGAGGTAAGTGCGTGCCTCCATTTTCAGCGCTCGCAGCCCCAAGGGAAGCCTGAGGATGCCCAGGTGCCCCTGTGCCCTCCAGGGCCGTGGTTCTAGAAGGTGCAGAGCGCTGAGCTGCCTTTCTGCGGCTACCACTTTGAAACCTGTATGCTGTCGCCCCAGCCGACGTCTGGACGGCACTGGCTGGAGACACCGTGACGGAGGCCGAGTTCTTGACTTTGATTTGGGTACTTGTGGAAGGGCCCAAAAATCTAACTGGCTTAGGACCAGTCTTACAGTTCACACCTTCGTCCTCTTCATTGAACGTTATCAGTCGCCTAGAAATACAGAAGCATGTCATTTTCCACATGTACAGTTTTAGTAACTCATGAAAACATCTCCAAAGTTTACCTTCAGCGTTAACAGAAAGGTTTTGGTCAAGAATTAAAGAGTCAAGAGGTTTATGGGCACCTACCTCATCTCTCATCTTCCACCAAGGTCAGTAAGCAAGTTTACAAAAGATTGGTCTCAATTTGAATACAGATTATGTAAACTCACACATAATATTAATACCAGCAAATTAAAATTTCGCATGTTACATAAGAATTATACAATATATCACCCTGTTCCCAAGTATCATGATGTGACCTACAGGATAACCAGAAATATCACTAATTGTTTTTCCCAGAACTGCAGTTTAAACAGATTTAGTGAAGAAAAAAGAATTTCACAATCGAATAAATATTAAAAATATTGCTTGATATAGTTTGGCTGCGTGTCCCCTCCAAAGCTGATGTTGAAATGTGATCCCCCATGTTGGCGGTGGAGCCTGGCAGAGGTGTTTGGGTCATGAGGGAGGATTCCTCAGGAATGGCTTCGTGCCCTCTCCCATGGTAAGGAGTGAGTTCTCACTCTATTCGTTCACGTGGGAGCTGGCTGTTTAAAAGCCTGGCATTTCTTGCTGTCTCTCACCATGCGACACATCTGCTTCCCTTCACCTTCTGCCATGACTGTAAGCTTCCTGAGGCCTCACCAGAAGCACATGCTGGCCCCAAGCTTCTTGTACAGACTGCAGAACCGTGAGTCAAAATAAACCTCTTTTCTTTATAAATTACCCAGCCTGATATTCCTTCATAGCAATGCAAAACTAATAAACTGCTGCATATCTTTTTCTCCTCCTGAAGTTTTAAAATTCATGTTAACATATTAAAGATTATGAAAAGCCTATACTAAAGATATCTGTATTTCCCAATCATTCTATAGTGAAACCTTTGATGGTCAGTAAAATTTGCATTCTTTGGAACCCATTTTGGAGACAGCTAGAATAGTCATGGACAAACCTTCAGAGATTCCAGAACTGAGTTTACCATTCATTATAAAAAGCCTACAGGGGGAACATTTTTTTAAATGACCTTAACACTGTCAATCATTGTCAAAACCTTGCCTGCTCCTTCAGCTTCACTTCCTAAGGACCACCCGGAGCATGAAAGGTGACTGCAATCCTCTCACAGCTCTCTTACAAGTCTGCATAGCATCAGTGTGTTGTTAGAGGCGATTACAACTTAGTGAACTCCCATTCTTGGAAATGGGATCATAATAACATGGTTATTTGAAAATTGCCATCTGTAGCAAAGAATGTAAATATAATATATTCAACCCTAAATCCCTACTGAACATTTTCTCTGGTGACCAGATGGCTCCTTGGGACCTTACAAGTGCTTCTCAGTCATCGTCATCGTTATCCTGTTGATGCATCAAAAATGATGCTTCGTAAACCTGTAGAGGAAAGATAACTAACACAGAGGAGGGTCTCTGTAAACCACTCCTGCCTGCTTTGTTTTCCGTCTATATCTTCCACCAGACTCCACACTGAGGTTTCTCAGCCTCAGCACTATTACCATTTTGGTCACATCATTCTTTGTTCTGGGGGCCGCCCTATGCACTGTAGGATGTTTAGCAGCATCCTTGGCCTCCACCCTCCAAATGCCAGTAGCAACTCCCACCCCACAGTGTGTCAACTAAAAATGTTGCCAAACATTGTCAAATATCCTCTGGGAGGCAAAATCACCCCTAGTTGAGAACCACTGCTCTTGACTCAAAATGTATTTGCTAATTGTAGGCTCAAAAGGCAAAATAAATGATAATAAAATTATGGCTTTTAAGAAATAAGATCTGTTTTGACAAGTGATGGTTAAGTTCTAAAAACTGAATAAGCATCTCTGCATTTCAGTGAAAGACCCAGAAGGCAAACGTAAGAAAGTAGTCTGAAATTTCATAGGGGTATTCAATTAAATTGTAGAACATGTGATCAAGAAATCAGAACATCTGAAGGCCATGAATAAAACCCAGGCACTGTAAAAAAAAAAAAAAAAAATGTGATTTTAAATGTATTTAAAACACAGTGAAAGACAGCTGTGGAGTGAATTTAATGCTAATAATTTCATGGAACACAGGAAAATACCATTAAATAAAAGTGCTATTTGTGGCAATAGGAAACAGAAAAGAACTCAGAATAAGCCACAAGAAATTTCAAGCATTAAGTCTAAATAGATTTTTTTTTTTTAACTATTGTCAATAAAGCCTGGGATTTCACTTCTGTGGGGCAAAAATATGTACCACAGCATTCCCACTGTGTCCACTAGCATTTTTAGAATCACAGTCTCTCAATAAGAACATGTTACACATGCAGTTACAAAGAATTATTCCCACTTTTTACATAGTTTTGGTAACTTCATATTTACCAAGATCTATATTTTGATGGTATGACAGAATATTCAAATAGGTGATTAATAAGCTTAGTAAGGTCAAGAATTATTATTCATTTCCCCTTCACAAAGGCAGTAAAAATGTCAGCGATTAAAAAACAAAACAAATAATCAACACAGCATAGATAACCTCTTTCGAATTGGAGCCATGTGACGCAGGCTACCAAGTAAAGGCCGTTCTTCTAGAGTCCAACACTCTATCAGCTCATGAGGCACCCGCCAGTAGCTAACACCTGGAAGGTAAAAAGAGATAATTAAGACAGCTACCATCCACTGCAAAATGCTGAGCAACACTGAGACCTGCCAGAGTCTGAGGTTCATGCCTCCCATTTGGCAAAGGAAGGTATGCACAACATGAACAGGAAGCGCTCACACGAGGAGCTAGGGCCAGGGAGCAACGCAGCTCACGACCTGGGTCAGGAAGAGCTGGCCACCAGCTTTGCCACCGATTAGCTGAGAAGATTCAGCAGGTTATTATGCACACTCAGGGCAGCTGAGAGTGAGGGCTCAGGCTCCAGCAAAACCTGTGTGGGTCTGAATCTCCATCTCTCACTCACTAGTCATGTCACCTTGGGAAAGTTACTTTTCTGTGCCTGAATTTTCTCAGCTATGAAATGATGACAATAAGATTATGTACCTTGAAGGACCATTGTGAGGATTAAATGAGTTAATAAATGCAAAGTGCTTAGAACAGGGTCCAGCACGGACTAAGCACTCAAAAACTGTCAAGTACCTTTATTCCCAGTCACAGTCGTAGGGAGTAGTGTAAGTATTGTATAGGCGGTGGGTTGTAACACTTGCCCTGACTACTTCACTGGGTTGTTGTGACATCAAATCAGGGCAACTCTGTGAACTACTCTGAAAATGACAACCACTGTACAAATATGAGATATCACCACCCAATAACCACAATTTCCAACAAGAATCTGAGCTAGTGAGTTAGGCAAAAATGCCATTCAAATTCATTTTAATTTTTAAATGTGTTATGTTTTTTATTAAAAGCTAAAACATGTATTCTTGAAGCCTCGAAAACATTATGCTAAGTGAAAAACACCAAACATAATAGGTCACATATCGTATTGTTCCATTTGTAGAGATATCAAGAGTAGGTAAATCCATTGAGACAGAAAGCAGACTGCTGGTTGCCAGGGGCTGTGGGAGACAGTGGAGTGGGGAGTGACCACTTAGGGAGTTCCTCTTGGGGTGATGAAATGTTTAAAACTGGATAGAGGTAATGATTGCACAACATTGTGAATGTAGTAAATACCAATGAAATGTATGCTTTAATTAATTCTGTTATGTGAATTTCCATCTCAATTTTTTTTAAAAAGCAGCATAAATATATTCACATGAAAAAAGCTCAAACAATTATGTTGAATGAAAATTGCTTGGAGTAATCTAAGTCCCAATAATGGATCTGGTGTTGTCTTCTTATTAAAGTTCTGGTAACAATTTAGCAAGCTGGGCATATAAATCATTATAACAACAGACATATCTGATACTCAAATAACTCTATGATCCTCATTTTAAAACAATTAACGTTCTGGAACCACTTGATCACACTCCAAAACCTACACATACTATAAAAACATTCCGAAATCTGGTCCGTTAAGTTTGCTTTTTTTAAAGTCAGATTTATTAAGATATAATTTACATAAAATAAAATTCATCCTTTTCAGGTACACATTCCAATGAGTTTTGACAAATGGATATAGTTATGTACCCATAGTCATAATCAAGATGTAGACCACTTCTATCACCCCAAAAAGCTTCCTCATACCCCTTAGCAATCAATGTCCCCTCCATCCTTAGTTTTGTCTTTTCTGAAATGTCATATAAATGGGATCTTACAAAATGCAACCTTTTGTGTCTGGCTTCTTTAGCATGATGCTTTAAGATTCATCCATGTTGCTGAATGCAGCAATGATCATTTCTTTTATTGGTGAGTAGTATTCCACTGTATGGATACACACCACAATGTGTTTAAAAACTTTCTTTTTTCTCCTGCCTATAAAGTAATTCACATCCCTTGTACAAAACCTGGAAAATATAGAGAAGCATATATAAGGGAATCAAAGTCACTCCTAATCAGAAGACCAGGAATCATTGGCTCAGGACAGACTAATATGTTTCATGCCAGTCTTTTTTCTACTCATATGATATACTTTACATTTATTTCCTGCTTTTTATCATTTCTTATCATGGGCATTCATCTATGCAAAAAGTTATTTAAAATAACTTTAATAGCTTTATTATATTCCATTCTGTGGATGTGCCAAAATATATTTAACCTTCAATCATTAGACACTTAAAGTGTTTTCATTTTGTCCCTATTATGAAAAATGCCAGAGAACATTTCTGTTCCTAAGCCGTTGTCTGCATTTATGTCCTTAACATAGATAAGATAGATTCCAAGAAGTAAAATTACTGGGTCAAAGAATATAAACAATTTTGATGCTACTGATGTGACCTAACAACTTACTTTCCAAAAGTTACATCAATTTTTACTCCTACCAGGAATTAATGAGAGATGTTTACTCATCTGGTATATAAAAATAGCTTTTATTAAATGTATATTTCATTGATAAGGAATGAAGTTGAACCTCCTGCTACATGTTTATTTCTTTTTCTGGGAATTTTATGGTCATGAACCTTGTAATTTTTTTTTTTTTTTTGTAGTAGTGGCTGCCTTTCTAATCAATTTTAATAAACCTTCTCTCTATTAAGGATATACTTTGTCCAGTTAATGCAACATTATTTATCCTTGTTTTTTATAAGTCTTTAAATTTTATTTATAATTTTTAATGTTTCTTGCTTTTTGTTTTGTTTTGTGTTTAACATTTATGCCTAGTGTTCCATTACTGGAACGCTAAGCATGTGGGAGTTACTTATATCCTAATGCCCAAGGTCATCGCCAAGGTCTGATTGCAAAAATTCAAAACATTGCAACCTCAGGAATAAATAGGTTAAGAGGCAGGGTCTTGCTATGTCACATAGGCTAGAGTACAGTGGCACTATCATAGCTCACTGTAGCCTCAAACTCCTGGCCACAAGTGACCCTCCTGCCACGACCTCCCAAAGTGCTGGGATTTTAAGTGTAAGCCAACATGTCCAGCATTTTTTTGTTTTAAAGTTCCTAATACTTTAAATGTTATGCAACTAACTTTATTAATCTTTGTCTTTGTGATTTTTGAGCTTTTAATTTCTTTCCCTATTAAGAAAACAATTATTTGCTTACATTTTCTTTTTTCTTTCATAAATCCATCTGAGACTTTTTTGATAAATAATGAGGTTACAGTTTTGTTTTTCTTCCCAAGCATATTTCTCAACTATTTATTAAAATATTGATATCTAATACTTTTTTACCACATAGTACTTTTACTAATTTTACTGGTGTTTACCCTTGATCTCTGCTCTATTCTTATATCAGAGGCACATGCTTTTTATTATTATAGGTCTGTAGCATGTTTTACTATCAAACAGAGCTAGACTCATCCCCCTAATTACTTCTACTCCCCAAAATGTTATTGGCTACTTTACCTATTTATTCTTTCAGAGGAATTTTAGAATCCTTTCTTCAAGATTCCAAAAGAGTCCCATTGATATTTTGATAGACCTATAATTTAATCTGAGAAGAACTGACATCTTTATAATATTCAGATTTCCCACTCAGGATCATGGTGTGTCTCACCATTATCTCCATGTCTTCTTTTTTATGAATGGATAAATACATTTTAGCAGTTTTCTTCAGAAAAGACCTAAGCATTTCTTGGGTAGTCAGTCCCGAGGACAGTCCTAGTTATTTTACATTTCGCTTATTGCTATAGTGAATGGGAGTTTCCCTTATAATTTTTAATTGATTTATCATAGGTAAGCTGCTGATCCATGTATACTGATATTGTATCCAGCTAGTTTAGCCTACTAAATTTAGTACTTACAATATTTTCAGCTGATTCCTTGGGGTTTTCTAAGAAGGCATTATCTACAAATAACAATGACTCTTCTTCTCCTTTCCAATATTTTTTTCTCTAATTTCTGTTTCCTATCTTATGGATTTTCACAGGCCTTCCAGAACTTTGCTAAATCACAATGATGCCTCATTACGTGCTTGCAAAATGGATAAAATTGGTCGCATGCTTTTTAAAAGGTATTGATCCCAGTTTTCTGCTTCAAACTTTTTTTTTTTTTTTTAAGATTGGAGTCTCACTCGGTCTCCCGGCTGGAGTGCAGTGGTACGATCTCGGCTCACTGCAACCTCCACCTCCTGGGTTCAAGCGATTCTCCTGCCTCAGCCTCCTGAGTACCTGGGACTACAGGCACGTGCCACCACGCCCAGCTAATTTTTGTATTTTTAGTAAAGATGGGGTTTCACCATGTTGACCAGGATGGTCTCAATCTCTTGACCTCATGATCTGCCTGCCTTGGCCTCGCAAAGTGCTGGGATTACAGGCATGAGTCACCATGCCCAGCCCTCCTTCAGCTTTCTAAGTCAGTGGGCTCCTGGACATCTTGCCAGTCCAGAGGCACAAACAGAGACACAGAGAACACCATGGAGTTTGTTCTCCAACTTAAGCATTAAGTGTCTCAAAGTAAATTAAATATAAAATAGAAAGCTGAAAGATGTCATCCTGCCTGCTCAAGGGGTATGACTGGGAAGGAAAAAGGAAGGAAAGTGAGGGGGGCAAAGTTGAGGAAAGAAAGAAGGACTGGAGCTAGCACGACACCTGAAGGAAGAACAGCTGATACAGTTTTTGTTTTGTTTTCTTTTCGAGATGGAGTTTCGTTCTTGTTGCCCAGGCTGGAGTGCAATGGTACAATCTCGGCTTACTGCAACCTCCGCCTCCCGGGTTCAAGCCATTTTCCCACCTCAGCGTCTCAATAGCTGGGATCACAGGCATGCGCCACCATGCCCAGCTAATTTTTTGTATTTAGTAGAGACAGGGTTATGCCATGTTGGTGATGCTGGTCTCAAACTCCTGACCTCAGGTGATCCACCTGCCTTGGCCTCTCAAAGTGCTGGGATTATAGGCATGAGCTACTGCACCCAGCCAATGCAGTTTTTAAAAGCTTCTTCCTCTCCTTTTATGTCTTGCTCTGTCACCCAGGCTGGAGTGCAGTGGTGTGATTATAGCTCACTGCACCTTCAAACTCCTGGGCTCAGGCAATCCTCCTGCCTCAGCCTCCTGAGTAGCTGGGACAATAGGTACATGACACCAGGCCTAGTTTTTTTATCCATTATGTGACTGGCAGTCAGTCTTTATTAGCTTTTAGGATTATCTGAGGATGGAATATGTCTTATTTATCTTTGGATCCAATTTTAGGACTTGTTACGATACTTTGCATCTATACACGGTTGTTAATTAAGAAAAAAAAATGCTTCGGCATAGAACAGAACATGTAACCCTTCTGTGATCCTTATGAAAGTGTCAAAGCCCTTCTGAGACTCAGTTTCCTCATCTATAAAATAGGAATGGTAAGTAGTGTACAGGATTGTGTTAGGACTAAGAGATACTGAATGTAAACTACTTATCGGAGATATAAAACAGCATTATTATTACCAACTCTCACTCTGTAGCTTGAGAAAAATGATGAGTTTTCAAAGTGTACATTTCAAGATTATTGTAATTACTTTATAAGGGCTCTTTAGATATCCTCCCCAGCATTATTTTCTCTCCCTTTCCTTGATTACATATTTTATGCTTAATTTGAAGTATTTTTCCAATGCACAGTAGATACTAAATGAACTCTTAATTAAATTAAATAAGCCTAGCTAACAGAAGCATACTTAAAGTTACTGAATTATAAACTATTAATAATACCTAGCAACTCATGGGATTTAAAGATTTGTAAGTAAACTGCCTCAGTGTTACCATGAGATGACAAATACACTGACACACTCAAAAGAATACTTTCTAAAACAAAGAAATGCAGTATTTGAGTTTACTTTGTCTTATTTTTTTTCTTTGTAAAAAGTCCACCTGCTTCCATGAAATAAAATTGCACTGTACCTTTTCCTTCCCAAGCATCAAAGGCATCCATCATTTTCTTCAACTCTGCTACTGAATAATAGCTCCAAATGTACTGAACATTATTTCCCGCCTCTCTAGAAATATTGCAAAAAATAATGAAAATATACTACCTAGGTATGGATGTGTATATATACATACAGCTAATATACATTTAATAAGAGCTTGTTAATTAAGGGAAAAAATACGTAGGCACTCAGTAGTTGTTCTGTGATCCTTAAGTATACGTATGCTTACATAGATATACATGTACACATTATATAATATACTAACCTACATTTTGATCTCTTTTTACCATAGTATTTTATTAATTCTACAATATACACCATGTAGACAAATCAACACATCTTTAATATCAAGTTTTTTAGAAAAATCAGTAAACTCCAATGAACTTAGAAATTACTCACCTTTGACCAGCATTATGCCAGACACTTACATATCTTACATAGAAGCATCCCTATCTATAAAGAATTCAGAAACTGATGACATATTTAATCATCTAAAAAGGCAAGCTTATATGATCCTGCATTAGTCACTAATAGTCGACCCAATCCCAGCTGCCAGAGAATTTTTTTAAAAATTGCTAAGTGAATTAACCAGTGTAAATAAGATTGCAGGAAAAATGTTAAGTAATAACTCTTAAGAATTTAACATGTTCAAGTCATAAACTTCTAAAGCTGGAAGGGACCAGGGAAGTGCTTTGTCATTTCTCAGAAGAAGATACCAAGGCAGGCTGGCCCTGGGTCACTCAATAGGCCTGCTGACTTCTTCTGCCAATGCTTCTAGGGTCTAGGAAGATGCCGGGCATGTGGCTTTTCTTTTTTCTTTCTCTTCTTTTCTTTTTAAGCCTCTTGGGGTTGGGGATTCTGAAGCAGACTCCCAATTGAGAACCACTGCATTAGATCATGCAGCTGGCCTGCAGCTTATCCATACTGTATGTGAAATGATCTTAATTATAATTTCCTCATGAAGCAGGCCTATCTCAACTGCTAAGATGGCTCACTCTGTCTCCTGAGAGGTGTTAATGGTCTTTTCTAGTCAAGTACATTTCATTCAGAAACACCTCTTAGAAGAGACCAAGACTTTATTTTGTTCTTTTTCACATTTAAATTTGGACATACCTTTTAAAAATGCTTTTGCTGTGAATTCTTCCTCCCAGCTGCTTATCAATAGCGTCTGTTCCATCAGTTTTTGTGGCATATACACCAATAATTCTACTCTCACAGCTTGCACCAGATGTGTTAAGATAGTGGAGAACCCAAACTGTTGGTTTATTGCAGACTAAGCCATATGAATCACAGAAGTCTGTTAAAGCCTGAAGCAAAAAGTATATACAAAATTTGAATTTAATTCTAGAGTAAAATAAAAATGAATATGCTCCATTACTTTCATATAAAAGCTGAAATTCTAGCTGGTCATAAGGGAAATAAAAAGATTATAAATTTCGGCTTAGTCTTTACACCTTTGAAAATCAAACACACATTTTTTTGAATTAAATCGGGGCGGGAAGGACAATCCCAAAAAGTACCACCCAAAAACCAAACACCTTTTCATCTACAGAATCCTTTTCCACATGGAAATTCCATTTTATTTCTTACTCCTTTAGTCTGCCAACATCACTTTTAATTTTATAATCTTTATGAGATCATTCCTCCACTGCCAACATCACTTTTAATTTTGAAATCTTCGTATAATAACTAAAATGTAGACCTTTTTCTTTTCCCTTTAGAGTAATTTCCCCAAAATTTCCCATGTGACACAATCTTCCATTTACCTTCTACTGACTAACCCCATAGTTGGTCCCTACTTTTAGCTCCAAATTCTAATCATGGACTAACCAGATTGATTTTTCTTTTACACTGAAAGATATGAATATATAAACTCAATATCTAAACTCAATATATGCTGCCTGAACTCATTTGGCACTTATCCACCTATTCATTCATTCATTTGAATATTAAGTTCCTGCTCTGTGCTGAGCTCTAAGGTCCTGAAGATATTAACGATGAACAATGGTGAGACAGGGTCCCAGCCCTCCTAGAGTTTATAGCTAATGTAGAAGACAGACACTGAACAAGCTGCCAGCACCCTGTGTAAGAAGTGCCACCAGGACTGGGTGTGGTGGCTCACGCCTGTAACCCCAGTACCTGGGGAGGCCGAGGCAGGCAGATCACCTGAGGTTGGGAGTTTGAGACCGGCCTGACCAACATGAAGAAACCCTGTCTCTACTAAAAATTCAAAATTAGCTGGGCGTGGTGGCGCATGCCTGTAATCCCAGCTACTCGGGAGGCTGAGGCAGGAGAATCGCTTGAACCCGGGAGGCGGAGGTTGTGGTGAGCCAAGATCACATAATTGCACTCCAGCCTGGGCAACAAGAGCGAAACTCCATCTGACAGAAAAAAAAAAAAAAAAGAAGCGCCACCAGTGAGACCACACGGTGCTCCAGGGCACAGAGCAGAAGGGTTTCACCCTGTGAAGCTGCCAGGGCTTTCCCTGGGAGGAACAGCTTTACTGCTGTCAGTACTCTGGACAGGTACTTTGTTGTGTTCACTGTTATATCCCAAGTGTCTGGAATAGTGCCTGACACAAAGGAGATGCCTAGTATTCACTGACTCAGTGAATGAAAATGAGGCCCTACCATGTCTTGCACTTTCATTTAATATTGCTATCTAACTCCTGTACTAGTTTGGAATTTTACTTACACATACATCTACAAGAATTCCCAACTATACTATAAACTTCAAGGGCAAAGAACTGCATGTTTTATTTCTTGGTGTTCCACACAGCCCCTTGTACAGTGCCAAACATGTCACAGGCACTTGAAATAAACATGTGTTGGCTGACAGCATGAATGTGGGCATGCTGGGTCCTTTTTGAATAAAAACCAGGAATAAAAGACGATGGAGCTGAGACTTCTGAAGATGAGCATTAACCCTCCCAACCTTCTAGTCAGGCCTCATTCTGCAGATGTGGCAACAGCAGGGAAAGACTACTGTTTGAAAATATAGTTTATGAATAACTTCAGTAGCAGAACCCATATAACTATGCAAATTCCTAAAGGGGATCTGGAACCAAACCAACTTTCTCTTCATGCTGCACTCCTAATAATCAACCACCCATCAGCTTTCTTCCTAAACGCTGACATCCAGATCAAAGAACTCAAACCAGTTCAGATCAGTTTTCACTATTAACAATTTCCTAAGAAAAAATATTTTTCTTAGATGCTCAAAAGTGCTAATTAATAACACATATAATACTTTCAATAAGACAAAAACAGGTACTTAGGATTTTCAAATCACGTAAAGATCTTTAAAATGTAATTTAAAATAGAAGCATCTTAAAAAGAGATTTACTGATCTCAAAGTGAATTAGCCAAACTAATGTTTTAAATTAGTAAAAAACTACTACACTTACTAAATCAAGTAAGATGCTTTATTATTTATCAGGATCATTCTTTTCAAAAATCATTTTAGTAAATAAAATAATACCACTATGCCCTCAAATAGTATAGTATTTCTCTTAATTTAAAAAGAATTTCCTGAGTTCTATAAAAAAGCCATCAAAAAGTGCTAAATCTTCAATGAGGGTTTTATAAACTCAATCAACTTTTGAGTGGCAATACACTTTCCAAGAACTTTGGCCTTAAAAAATGAGAAGTAGTAGTAAAGAAACATGTCTTCAAAGCGTATAAAAACTATCCTGTTTGGTTAATGTGAAAACACAGGCTAAGCAAAATAGTACATATTGCTTTGTGCATCATAAATATATATATTCAAAAACTTTAAAAAAAATGCCAAGACCTTTTTAAGTTCTATATTTGACCTTAAAGAATATGTCTCCATTTCATTGGCCAAATGGTCAGACAGGCTGTACGGATAAGGGATGCCAAAGTAATCAGCCTCTTCCTGTAGGGCGATGCGGGTTTGCTCATCTGTGGGAATCTGAACTTCTCCATGAAGGTAATCCAAAAGGTATTTAAACAGACGTCCATCACGGTCAATAACACAAGCCCCTAGAAAACATTCAGTTCAAAAACGATTGTAGAGATTCTGTCAATCAATAAGATTTCAACAAATCAAACTAGGTCTGCGGACCTCTACAGTTATAAATGTTTCTTTCTCACATGAAAGTTAACATCTAGTGTTCAAATAGGTTTATGTAATCTAAGCTAGACTTTTGGTTATTCAAACACCAAATATGATATACCAGCAACCCTCTGCTCACAAATAGGTGATATTGTAAAACAGAATCTGAATGAGTTGTGTGGGAAAATCACCTGTAGTTCTATAATATTGCACATAAGTTTGAATGCAAACATATATCACCAGGGTTGCCATGTTTGCTTGTATTGGTGTACTATATATACCATGCTAGGCCAAGCGGCCAAGTGAGGCTAAAACCAAACCCACACTCTGCCCACCAAGCCATGCACCCTGGCATGGAACTGCATCTTCCGGGATAAAAGGGCACCCTTTTCTAACTTGTACACAAAGAAACTGAATGAGTCAGTGGTGGACCTTTGCATTCTCACTACCATATGGGAAAAGATATTCCGAGATCCATTTAGAACTTTGGATGCAATGACTATATTCACAATGGCCACTGCAAAAGCTAAGGGCACCCCACACTGCTGGTAGAAACAGAAGTTTACCCCAACCTTATCTCAGCTGGACTAGAACAGGTATATGGAGATGCTCACTAAAAGAGCATGTGGGGTGCTCATCACTATGTCCAGTGTTTGCCTGTCAGCAACACTACAAACCCGGGGTTCCTCGCTCCACGCATGCCAGATGATTGGAATCACTGGGTTAGTCCTTTTGTACTATGAGAACCCAAACTTTAAAAAAGAAGAAACGCTATGCTGGTACTACTTTATAATAAAATATTTTTCTTAGATAATTTAGCAGAATTAAAAAAGAAAAGAAAAGGAAAGGAAAACCTCTGCATGAGGAAGGGATTAAGAAGATAAAATTTAGGGGCAGAGAAGAAAATTCAATCCCTGCTTACCATCTTTGCCCCAACAACATTTCTGCCCAGGTAGATACCAAGCCCTGGGCACCAGCCACTGGTGACTTTTTCCCCCCAGTCTTTCAACTGCCGTTTAACCAGCAAAGCAACCTCCTAACACCAGGTTATTAACAGTAGAACAGCCCCTTATGTTCAAAACTCCTCAATCGATCTCCTCTAACACAGAACCAAGAGTGGGTCTGGGGCTCATACGCAGTGCAAAAAACCTCATTTGTATTGATGAAGTTTCTTTACAACCAGTAGTAGGTTCAGTGAGTCCCAGAGCACTGGAAGCAGAGAGCAGTCCCAGAACCCTACCTGTGTGATTTACAGTTTCTTCTGAAACCCAGTTTTCAGTCCACTGCTCCTTAGACCTGACAGTATCATTGCACAGACTTTTTCTCAGCCATGCACATCGGCCACACAACAAGACTACACAGCTAGGCTAGATGGCGAGCCCAACACTAATTCTGCAATGATGATGGCTGCTCTGCTAGCAATAAGGGCAGCTGCTTTCTCCAGACAAACACATTTTCTAACTTGAAGAACACAGAGAGAAGCAAATCTATTTAATCACTGTCAATATCATCACTCAAAGCTGCATGAAAGTAACACGTTTCAAAATATAGTTAATCCCCGTAATTAGGTTATGACCAGCCTTTATGAACTCTTACTTCTTTGTCAGCTTTTAACAACATGATCACAGATTTTCAGAAAAACTATTTAATTTCTCCATGTACTTAATGAATCTCCATAGAGTCCTAATGATCTCAGTAATTAGTATATTCATCTAGTACATTTCGTTGTAATTAGGAAAATCAAAGGGAATTTAAACTGGGCTCTTGTGTTAATAAATATTCAGATCATGCTTTCAGACTTTAGACATTTACCTGACTCATCTGTTTTTAGAGGAAAGCGACCACTGAACATAGATGCCAACATGGAGTCTTTGAAGCGGCACAAGGACTCCCGCCGGGCTGTGTAAATACAGCCACCCACATTCAGTCGGAGAACATCTAGCACCTCTTCTCCTGCCTTGTGGCCTTCCATTTCTCCCCCAGGCACCTCAATTTTTGCCTCCCAACACTTTCAGAAACTTCAAAACAATGATGTCTCCGTCTCCCTCTGTAAAACAAAGGACAGTCATCCCTGCCATTTACAACAAGACACTAAATAGATAATAAAACATGACTGAAAATAAATTCCTCAGTACTGGCAATATTGAATTGAAGGATTTTATATAATATAAGAGAATTTCGAGATATGCTAAGAAGTTGGAAAATGTTGGCTCAGAGGGTTTGTAAAATATAATAAACGACTAACAACGCAATCATCGCTGTTGAAATGACTGTTTAAACATGGTAATGCCCTCTCTGTCACACGGCAAACAAAGGTGAGGCCTGCTTATGATCTTCAGTATTCACATATCTTTTTAACCATGGTAAGTCTGAGGGAGCCTCTAGACTGCAGAGATCAGTGGACAGCATGGAATTGAGCTGCTAGGCTCTTCCCCTCACCAGCTCTAGAATCTTGGGCAAATTACTTATCTTCCTCTTCTATAAAATGGAGGCAGTGATGATGCCTACCTCAAAGGACTATCAGAGGAATCATTAAAAGAACATATAAAACAGCAAAAGAGCATTTAGAACAGTTCTGGCTCACGGTAACTATTCAATAAATTATAAATATTATGCATAATGATATAAATTTAACCATAAAGTGTCTACTGAGGGACTTGATACTGACTCTGGAAATGTAAGGAAATAAAGGAGCAGGAATTATTAACAATGATAACTGTAATTCTTAGGTAACTAAGGAATATATAATTTATCAATTGAGATTAGAGTTCTTTTAATTTAAAAAAAAATTTTTTTTAATGAGACAAGGTCTCACTGTGTTGCCCAGGCTAGTCTTGAACTTCTGGGCTCAAGCAATCTTCCTGTCTTGGCCTTCCAAAGTGCTGAGATTACAGGCATGAGCCACCACACCCAGCCTGAGATGAGAATTCTACATATACCAGTAGGCAGACTAGTCTAGAACTACAAATAACATATCCAAATCATCCAGCTTCTTCACTGTGAAATGGATGAAGCTTTAGGGAAGTTTTTGGTTTTGTTTGTTTGTTTGTTGAGATGCAGTCTTGCTCTGTAGACCAGGGTGGAGTACAGTAGTGCAATCTTGGCTCACTCCCAGGTTCAAGAGATTCTCCTGCCTCAGCCTCCTGAGTAGCTGGGACTACAGGTGCACACCATTATGCCCGGCTAATTTTTATAATTTTAGTAGAGATGGCGTTTCACCATATTGGTCAGTCTGGTCTCGAACTCCTGACCTCAGGTGATCCACCCACCTCAGCCTTCCAAAGTGCTGAGATTACAGGTGTGAGCCACTGCGCCTGGCCCAGGGAAGGTTTAAGGGTTGGATTTTTTAATCCATTCTGGAGATCACAGAACCACAGGTGACACTGTGGTGTTTTCCCACCTAGAACAATACTGTGATGAGAAAGGTACTCCCAATATTGAGAATCTGCAGTATCCACACATTTCATAGCAAGTTTAAAATGGCTGCCGAAAGGCTCAACTACATCCATGTCAATTCACTTTCACTCAGTGACCAACTAAGATCGTTTTGTAGATGCCAGCCAGTCTCCAATAAAATGGAAGGAGACCATTAAAATCTAAGGAAGACCATGTGTGTAGAACACGTTCAGCAACAGAAACCATTATGGGCCAAAGGTCCAGCCTTCCAAAACCACTTATGGATGTGACATCTTGCACTGCCTAGAAGTCCCAGGAGCAGCACTCCAAAGATCCATGTGTGAGAGCCACCTCTGAGGCATGGGATGGAACTAGTTCCCTCTGCCTCATTACTAGCTCCCTGGAATCCTATCTATTCTTCAAGGCCCTCAGCAAACCTAATTTCTTGGATGACTGTCCCACATATCCTTCTGACCCCCAAGTTTGAATCCTTGCACAGTTCTACAAATACACTTTGTGTGTCTGTCCACATTTTACCCCACTTGTTTAATCCCTACTTTTTGATCTGTAGGCCAAGGAAGCCAGGGCCTGTGTCATCTTAGTAACTCCCATTTACTGAATGCTTATGATGTGTCAGTCATTGTAAGAGACACTTGACACACATTACCTAATTCACACAAAAACTCTGTTGGATGGGAACTATCATCCCTGTTGACAGATGAGGACCCTGGGGTAAAAAAAGAGAGAGATGTGTACAGGGGCCACACAAGGGCTGACTGCTAGTAGGTTGTGGGGCCAGCCCCAATCCAGATCGGCAGAACGGACCCCAAGTTCCTCCTGCTTCATCCCACACCGGCTCCTTCAGCACTGTTTCACCCCTATGGCTCCTGACCCAGCCCTTTCACTCTCTAAGCATCTGTCCATCTCGAGACTTGGTTACAATAACACAGCAGCACCCCGATCCCCAGGATGTAAGAGCTACTCCTCCTACCCAAACCCCAGGCAGTCTCTCCTAAGGAGAAGAACATCACCATTCCAAGGCCACACCGGGGGGTACTCCGCAGGCCCCATCCTCAAAAGCACCCAGTTAGGCTCCCTGCTATGTGGAAAGTGTCCAGCCCTCGGGGACAATGTCCCCCAGAGTGCGGTCCTATGATCACCTGCATCAAAACCATCAGGGACGCTTGGGAAAACGAAGACACTCAGGCCACAGCACAGAGCACCTCAGAAAGTCTGCCTCAGAAAGATTTGGGGATCTGCCCGCAAACCCCACTTTGAGAAACATCGCTCAAGGGGCTCACACTCCTCTTCCGAAGCGGGAAGAGCCGGGAGGAGCTGGGAAGCCAGAAAGCCCCGTCACGGTCTTCCGCGGCCTGGAGACCCCCAAATCGGCCCGAAGACCAAGCCTGCAGCCCGGGACGCGCGCGTTACCAGCGCTGCCCGGGCCCTTCCTCAGGGCGCCCCGCCGCCTTCCAGGCCCGCTGCCCATCCCGCGCCCGGCTCTTCCGCACCGGCAGGGTGGGCCGGGTCGGCAGCTTCCCAGACTGACCTGCGGCCCGCCAGACCCTCGGCGTGACCGCCTGACGCCGCTGGGCGGACGCGGAAGTGAACGCCTTCTCCGCTGCTCGGCAACTCGGAAAGCAGAGGGGTGCCAGCGGCGCCCCCGCGCGGCCCGGCTCTGCGGCGGCGGCGGCGGCGGGTCCGGGAGGGAGGGAGGCCACGCCCCGGGCACGCCACGCCCCCAGACTGGTCTCGTCCCTGCCGGCCGCCTCGGAGTCGGGTGGGTTTTCCATCCCAGAGGCAAGGGAAAGGCACCACAGAGAAGGCCAGGGCTGAACCCCGCGGGACGGTCTTGTCTGTTCAGAGGCTGGTTTTACAGGTGAAGAGAAGAAACAGCCACAGAAGTTGCGATTGTCCAAGGTCACTTAATAAGTAGCAAGAATTGGGATGTTAAGTGTTCTCACCCCCAGGTCAGTGCCCATCCCTCCAAACAGGGCTGCTCAGTGCCAACGTGTGTTAATATATTGCACTTGGATAAGTCTATCTGGATAGTGTCTGCAGCTTTCAAAGCTTTTTCACACACAGCATTCTTGTTTAGTCTGTGTGACAGTGATATAAAGGGTGATATTTATTTCCCATTATAGCAAGGAAAATTGAGGCGAGAGCAAACATTTATTCAACACTTTTGTACACCTGACACTGTGCTAAGTGCTTTGCATGCACTACTTAATTTCCTGTTAACGATAACCCTAAAAGAGTTCTTCCAGTTTCTAGCAGCATCTTACCTTATGCAAGGTACTGTGCTAGGTATTTCAAGAAAAATATAACAGTCCTGTTTTCAAGGTGCTTCCCCAAAATCAAAAATTTGGGGTTCCAAATTTCCCTGACTGGCTCTTAGAAGAGAATAAGCCAAAGAGAGGTAAGTCAACCTATCCCCTTAGATATAACAGTCTTAGGAGAGAGGGAAGGTTTTTTTCAACCTATAATTATTAAGCACTAGCTATGGAGCAAGCACTGAGAGTAAAGGACTGGATGAGACAAATAATGGGCGTTCAACCTTACATTCCAGTACACCATGCAGAAAACTTGTTCTGTAAATATTTTAGGCTTTGTGGGCCATACACAACTACTCAGCTCGGCAGTTGTAGTCTGAAAGAAGGCATAGGCAAAACCTAAACAAATGAGCATTGCTAGTTCTAACTTTATGGACACTGAAATTCCAATTTCACATAATTTTCATGTGTCATAAAATATTCTTTAAAAAAGCAGCTTTTTCAAACACTTAAATATGTAAAAGCCATTCTTAGATCATGGGCCAGACAAAAACAAATGGTGGTCCATGGGCCATAGTTTGCCTGTCCTTGTTCAAGTGGGAGAAACAGACGCTAAGCAAAGTGGGGACAGATAGTGATAACAGGTGCGAGGAAATCAGTGGGAATTTAAGTTGAGGGCTAGGAGTGAGAATGAGTCCACCTTCTGCAGAGATGGAGGAAGGGTATTTTAGGAAGAAGGGAGAGCAAGTGGGAAGTCCCTCAGGCAGGAAAGGACTCAGCAATTTGTAGGAAGAGAAAGGCTACTAGTAGTATGTTTGAGCCTTGGTGGGCATCAGGACAAAGGGGAAGATGAGATGGGATGAGGTTGAAGAGAGAGGCAAGAGCCCAGGCTCTAAAGTACTGTGTGGCCGTGGTAGAAGTTTAATTTGACTCTAAGCATAATGAGAAGCTATTGAAAGGTTTTAAGCAGGGAAGTGACCCGATTGATTTACTATTAAAAAAAGAAAATCACTGCAGCTACTGAGATGAGAACGGATTGGAGAGGTATGAGCTGGAAGTAGATAACTATTGCAATAATCCAGGGGAGAAATGTCATAGTTCCTCCTTGAGTGGTGTTGGCAATAAAGAGAAGTGGATGGATGCAAGAGGTGTACTCAGGAGATAGACATGACATAAAATTTGTTGGTGGATCAAATACAATGTGTTAATATGGATCCCCTGAGAAGCAAACAATAGTATCATATTAGACATGTGAGAGATTTATTGAAGGGAACGCCTGTGAGGTAATAATAGGGAAGCATCTGAGGGGAATTAGAAAAGACATTAGACAGTTTCAACCCTTGTGGAGAACAAGAAAGGAAGAGTAGGAAAAGTTGTAGATATGATACAGTTCTGAGAAAGTTTCAGCATAGCCAATGGAAAGTCTTCAAGCCAAAGTCCCCCATATCAGAAGAGTTCTGTGTCTCCCAGGAGTGGGTCTGCCTTAAATCCCTCTGCTTAGTTGCTGGCTGGGACCAGTCAATGGGCAGTGCAGCCTGGAACATAGTGATAAATTTCAGAGGACAGCAGCTGACACATCAGTCAACAATGCTCCCTGCAACTGGAGATCTGAGAAGTACATTTTCTTCATGGCTGCCATATATGGGATTTAAGGGAAAGAGGGAAAAGTAGGAATATCTCTAAAATTGTTAATTTGTACAATGGGATAATAGTGAGTTTACCGAGTTGGTGAATTATGGGAGAGGAATAGGTTTGAGGGAAGAAATCAGAAGCTGTGTTTTGGACTACTACTAAGATTCAGATGCTTTTCAGACATGCAGGTAGAGAGATCAATTAGCAATTGAGTCAATCTGGAGCTCAGGAGTAAAATTCTGTGTTGAAGGTGGATATTTGGAAAGTATAAGCACTTAAAGCTATGAGAGTAAATGAAACCATCTGCAGAAAGGGGAGATAAATGAGAAGAGACAACATGAAGCATTGACTTCAGCATTTAAAAGTCAGGTTTACAAGGACGAGCCAAGAGGAAGGAGGGGAATCAGGAGTGTATAGAGTTACAGGAACCAAGAGAGCAAAGTGTCATTCATATCAAATGTCACTGAGAAATCAAGGCGTCATATTTGGTATTGTGGGAGTTCTAGGTGACCTTGACAAGAGCAGTTTCAATGTGGTGGTGAGGATGCAAACCAGCCAAAAATGGGCTGGAGAGTGAATGGGAGATGGATGTAACCCTTTAGAGAAGACTTTGCTGTAAATAGAAGTAGAGAAGTGAGGCTGTAGTGAAGGTGGGATAAGAGTCAAGAAAAGGAGTTTTAGGATGAGAGTCGTTCCAGCAGGTTATGCTAATGGAAATGATTCAGTAGATAGGCAGAGATTGGTAAGGCAGGAAGGGGAGGGAGGGGACAACTGAAGGAATGAAATATTTGGCAAAGCAAAAGGTGTTGGATCCAAAGCACAAATGAAGCAATTTTCCTTTGACAAGAGCAGGGGTAGGAGGTAAAACAGAGAAGACAGATTTAAGTTCAAGTAAGTTGTAGATTTCACAGAGGAGAGATGAGAAAAGTGTGACCAAATGGCTTCTGCATTCTCCATTTCGTCTAAAGCAAGGTCAGAGGCTGAGAGTAAAGGAGATGAGGGGTGGAAAAGGTTTGAAGAAGGAGCGTAAGGTATGAATTATTTATCTCGGGAACTGAAAAGCAAACTTTCTATAGAAACTTGGTAGGATTGCTAAGAAGGGATGAGTGTCCACTGGAGGATTGTAATCATTATAACATGGATGACAAGCTAGTCATCCCAGTTATATGACTTTTATCCAGTAACATTCAGCAGCTTCAGTACAGGTGCTGAGAAAGTACATAACCCTGGGCTCAGCCAGAGTCGGGATTTAGCCAGGTAGTATGACACAAGGATTGATTACCATGATGGATCATCCATTCTAAGATGGGTAAGGAGGGAAGTATATGAATGTGGTGATGCATAGTGAAAAGGTAGTAACATTAATGGATTTGAGATCTCAATGGAGTTGAAGGATTATTCAAATAGGGATACTAGAGTAAGTGAGCTAGAAGAATCGAAGGCAGTGGTCAGAAAATATACTTGAATTCAAGATGCCAGAAGTTATGCAATGAATGTAATGCCAAGGCTCTGGGCTGAGATGGGGTGGAAACAAAGTTAGCAGAGATGAAAATTGTAAATAAATGGCAAGCCAGGTTGTAAGATGGGTTATGTAATGCCAAGGCTCTGGGCTGAGATGAGGTGGAAACAAAGTTAGCGGAGGTGAAAATTGTAAAGAAATGGCAAGCTAGGTTGTAAGATGGGTTATCACCATAAATAAATACAAAGTCAACAAGAATGAGTAGGCATAGAGAGAAAGATGATGAAACGGAAGCCAATGTTACCAATAATTGATGATCAAAAGAGTTATAGAAAACTGCACTGAGGAAAGAAGGAGAGATCCTCTATCCAGATGTATGCATACAGTTAAAATTACCTAGGGCTTAGAAAGACAAAGAAGGGAAAAGTGTTTGGAAGCACTATTGAGAGAAAACAGAACGCCATCCCCACCTCCTGATTCTGGAATATGGGGGGAGTAGAAGAAAAAGTAGTCTCCACCCGAGAAGTCTACAGTGGAAGCAGGACCTCTAAGAACAGATAACTTTCAGTTAAAAAGAAAAATTTAAGTGATAGTAACATTTTAGCCAGGTGTGGTGGCAGTGCCTGTGATCCCAGCTACCCAGGAGGCTGAGGGAGGAGAATCGCTTGAACCCTGGGAGATGGAGGTTGCAGTGAGCCAAGATCACACCACTGCACTCCAGCCTGGGCAACAGAGCAAGACTCCATCAGAAAGAAAGAAAGAGAGAGAGAGAGAGAATGGTAGCATTTAAAAATGAATTTTAAATGGCTTTGTGGAGGTGTTTGGAAGCAATGGGAAGAGTGGGAAATTGGAAAAACACCACCTAGGAAATCCCCGATAAGGACACAGCAGGAACCAATAAAAAATGCTAAATGTGCTGTAACCGAGAGAATTACCTTGTTCCCCTGTAACTTTACATATCCTGTTTATATCGGGCTATAAAAAGCAAGCACTCGCATTGTTCGGGGCCCTCTTGAATGCTGTGGAATGGAGGGACCAAGTTCGAACTTGCAGTAAAGATCCTTGCCGCTTGGCTTTGACTCTGGACTCTGGTGGTCTTCTTTGGGGAACAAACGGTCTGGGCATAACAGGCTTATAATAGTGGACATATCAGAAGTATGAGGATAAGGGCCCCAGGTAACAGTGGACAACTTGGGGAATTGGGACTGCTGGGGTGATTATAGAACACAGTGTCTAGACATAATGAGAAAAGTCCTGATGGTCTATTAATGCAAGGTTCAAGCAAAGGCCAA